CCCGCCTTTCTGAAACGCGTCGATTTCTACAAAGCTCAGCGGTCTGAAAAGCGAGGTGTGCTGTGATTGGCCGAATACCTCCAGCGTGTGACGGAAATGTTACGCCCCTACCATACTGTGATGCCCTGTCCGGCCCGGAGCTACGAGAAAATGTTATATACATAAACAAAAATGCTTACAACTGTTCTGGAACAGTGTTGTAAATACAACTTAACCACTGATTTCTAGTTGTGTCCTCTTTTGGAAGGCCAAACAAAGTAATGTTAGTTTTGCTTTCACAACGAAACAGCGGTGGCCTTGAGTGAGCGGCGGCCGGCGGATTTGACGAAGGAGCGTCTAGCGGGTTTGCGGCAACCACATGTGACGACCCTGGGCTGGACTCCGCTTCGTCCACGGTGAAAGCCGATCCGGCGATCCACAGCGCGAAGTTGATGTATTTCCTCAGCGACCAGCACGGATCAGCTCTAGGCATGACGAAGCGGATATCGTCCTCTTTTGGAAGACCAAACATATGCAAATCTTCCCACATCATGACATAGACATGTGGGGGCGTGTTAGAATGAGCCGTTTTAGGTAGGCGTGGTTGACTCTTAACTTTTATGTCTACGTCACTGTGTGGGAAGATTTGCATAACACCTGCCCAAATGTTCACGCAAAGAAAGAAGGTGTAACTATTATTCTCGCTGTAGTATTGTTGCTGCCGCCATGTCGTGGAGACGCTGCGTGTTTCGTTATGAAAGCGAAACTACTTTGTTTGGCCTTCCAAAAGAGGACACAACTAGAAATCAGGTTTGGTTTTGTCTCGTCGCGCCGGGACACGGCATCATATGGTAAGGGGCGTAACATTTCCGTCACACGCTTGAGGTATTCGGCCAATCACAATGCACTGGATAACTGGCCAATCAGAGCACACCTCGCTTTTCAGAATGATGAGCTTTGTAAAAACCGACGCGTTTCAGAAAGGCGGGGCATAGAGGAGAGACAATAATGTACAGTATGTGGAAAATAATGTTTTTTTCAACCTTAAAATGCATAAAAATATTTCATTACACCAAATACACAAAATGTCATTATAATAAATCATATGAAGTTGCATTACACAATGCAACGTCATATGACCCCTTTAATAAAATCAAATGAACACTTAAACCAATTAGATATTACCAAAACTAGCTACATTTCATGCTGCAAGATAGTTTTATTTTGTATATCAAATTTCTTAAAAAACAAAACAAAAACGTATTTGTACCGTTATTGGTTTAACACCAATATATGACACCAAATGTATTATATATTAACAAACCACTAAAAACATTCAGACCTCTTAAAGGAAGCACCCACCAGACCATTTGGAAACATACTGCTCTTTAATCAGACATCAATATCATTAAAATGTTAAATTATACTGCTGAAACCAGCGTGCTGATGACATTGAGAAAATACGCTAACAGAAGCAGCGACTGCAGTCGCAGTAACAACACCACAAAATCATCACATTTTTCAGTCATGTATCAGTCAATAGAAAATTGCCAGAGAAACAAAAGCAAAATACTCAAACAAATAATAAATAAGCTATTGTTGTTAGGCCTGTAACAGGGTTAATTAACGATTTATATACAGTAGAAGAAATCAGTTAGTGGTTTTCCTGAGTACAGTACAACTCAACGTCTTCAAAGCAGAAAGGAAATCCACCAGAAAGGAACAGCATACGACACCCGTGTGCTTGGCATTGTTTCATTCAGTATTGTAAACACACACTCTCACACACTCTATAGGCTATAGAAAATAAAGTGAATGATAAAACTCATTCCTCATTCCAGTTGACTTGGTCTATAAAGATAAGGCAAGATGATCTTACACATTATTGAGCCAACTTCACACCGTCAGCAGTCATCAAGGGACAAAACTAGTGCAGCATTTCTTGTGAATGTCCTCAAAAATGGTAAAACTCCAAAATAAACAGCCGATTGTGAGGTGTCATTGTTTATAAAAACATAACTGCTGTGCTGATGAGCGAGAAAAGCTATTTCTAAGCAGCTAGAACATTCAATTATTTTGTTCGCAGTTTTTTACGATCTTAAAAAAGTCATTTATTTATAACACCAATCCAACAAAAATACTACATTCATGTCTTGTTTCGATGGCGTCACAATAAGTAATAAAAGTCAATCAAGTCATGCATCAATCAAGTTTGATTTGTCAAATGTCAAAAGTCGTATACAATGTCATTTAGAATGTCAGGTTGAGAGGACCGTTGTTCCCAGAACAAATAGTTCCTGCTGTAATAACACAAGCTGTGCTCTGGTTTACATTTACACAGTTTTGCAGCAGGATCATATGGCAGTAGCAGCCACAGCACAACAGGAAACCAGAGCTGTCCGAATTCAACTTCAGTATGCACTCATGCAATCAGAACACTCCAATCACAACCATAAGTATTTATCAAGCCCCGCCCACCCAGAGCTCATTAATAAAGTTAATAATACAGAATGTCCCAGAAGGGAAAGTGCTGATGGGTGTGATAATACTAATGATGGTTCATTATAGTTGAAACTTTATCATGAAATTATTAACATCATTACATACCACCAATAAAAAAACAATAAAAAGCTATCATATATTCAATAAAAAACATGTAATGCTGATTTTTCCTTCGTATACATTTACGGTAAGTAAAAAGTGACAGGATTGGGCCCGTCATTCCAGTGTGGGTGCCTAAACACCCTTTGGTTTCTCTTTAGTTCTATCTTGATCTCTTTTTTTGTGCTTTAGCCTCTTCAAGTACTCAATACTACTCACCATTTTGTCCTACAACTGTTCCACTATCTTTAAGTGCAGAAACATGATGAGCACAGAAACACTCATATTAGTTTATAATGGCAAAGTCCATATACAGTGGGGAAAAAAAGTATTTAGTCAGCCACCAATTGTGCAAGTTCTCCCACTTAAAAAGATGAGAGAGGCCTGTAATTTTCATCATAGGTATACCTCAACTATGAGAGACAAAATGAGAAAAAAAAATCCAGAAAATCACATTGTAGGATTTTTAAAGAATATATATATATATATATATATATATATATATACACACACGCAAAAATCACATTATGTCACTGAAAAAGCATTCAGGAAGCACACATAAACAGCATCATAAAGCACTTTTAGGCATTTGTAGCTGGGATCGTTTTACTCAAAAATGAATGTTTGGTCATTAATTACTCACCCTTGTGTCATTCCAAACATATAGGATTTTCCTTCAAGATAAAACACAAAAGCAGATTTTAAGATGAGCAGCATGAACATCCTGCTTAACTTCTCCTTTTGTGTTTCCAAAAAAAGACTGTAAGCCATAAAGGTTTAGAACAACATGATGGTGAGTAAATGATAGCTTGTTCATTTTTGGGTGAACTAACATCCAGTATTAAAAAAAAAAAAAGGATTAGATGAGTTTCAAAGTGTTTGATGTAGCAGTCACGTGTGCTTATAAATACATCAGCATGCCTTTTGACACTATGTGACCATATGGAAAGTTTAGGAGGAGAGTTTGGAATAACTTGGCGGGGAGAATTTCCGCTTCAGATATTTGATGATGTAGAGCGGCAAACAGCTGACCAGCGTGATGACGCACACCTTCCACAAGAACACCCATGTGGTAATAAACGAAAGATCTGAAGACAAACAAAACAGATGAAGAAAATAAAACGTCAGGGTCAAAGTGTTTATATCATCAAAGCGTCTTTTTCACACGTTATGAAAAAGAAGTCTATCAGGCTGTGGATGAAGTGGATGGGATGCACTTCACCGATGGAATGTTCTGAAAAATGAGTGATCACAGGGTGAGGGCACATTTGAATGGCTCCTTCTCATCCAGGGGCCCACACCACATGAGACTGAAACCCGAGGGAGGAGAACGGACATGTTTGTGGAGACAGGAAATGATAGTTGGTGAAACAACAGAGTGAACACAGGGAAAGACAAACCTACCCAGGAAAGCTCCTAAGGTCACGCGACCTATGCCTGAGGCACAGTCACAAAACAGAGATGGAGAGAAAGAAGAAGAAAGAGCTTAAAAGTTGTACATCAGTCTAAACTAAATCTGTGTGTTTGGATTGAACACTGAAACCAGAGCCTATAGAACATCTGTTACAGATGATGTTTTCATTTTGGCCTTTTATTTAAGCTTAAGGAGAAACAGTCTATATCTATCTATCTATCTATCTATCTATATATATATATATAGAGAGAGAGAGAGAGAGAGAGAAAGAGAAAGAGAGATCAAAATCAAATAAATTCTAGAATTCATTTATTATATAGCCAGACAGACAGACAGATTAAACAATAAATAAAGAGATAGATAGATAGATAGATAGATAGTAGTGCTGTCAAATGATTAATCGCATACAAAATACGTTTTTGTTTACTTTTGTTTGTTTTGCGTGTATTTATATATACATAATAAATATACACAGTACACACACATATATTATGTAAACAAAAACTTTTATTTTGGATGCGATTAATCACGATTAATCGTTTGACAGCACAGATAGATAGATAGATAGATAGATGATAGATCGATTGATATAGTTCAAAATCAAACAATTATATAATTAATTATATAGTAAACAGATAAAACCGACAGTGACAGAACAATACAACCATAGAATGATAGACAGAAAGAACAATGGATATAATGCTAGATAGAAGAGATAATAGAAAAATAGATAGATAGATAGATAGATAGATATAAATGTTTTATCTATCTATCTATCTATCTATATCTTTGATTGGTTTATATTTAAATGAATAAAATATAAATTAAACCAAAAAAAGTGTCACATTTAAGAACAGATAGACAATTAATAAACTAAAAATTAATATAAAAAATAATATAAACAATAAATGAATGAATGAATGAATAAACAAATAAATAATAAGTAGGTAGAATGACAGAACAATACAACCATAGAATGATAGACAGAAAGAACAATGGATATAATGCTAGATAGAACAATAGATAGAAAAATAGATAGATAGATAGATATAAATGTTTTATCTATCTATCTATCTATATCTTTGATTGGTTTATATTTAAATGAATAAAATATAAATTAAACCAAAAAAAGTGTCACATTTAAGAACAGATAGGCAATTAATAAACTAAAAATTAATATAAAAAATAATATAAACAATAAATGAATGAATGAATGAATAAACAAATAAATAATAAATGGGTAGGTAGAAAGGTAGGTAATTAATATTCAAAAAAGTATATACAACTACAAAAATGTATTAATATATAAATAAGTAAATGAATAAATGAAATAAAACAGAATTAAATTACATTAAAAATGAAATAAAAATATAAAATAAGACTGTCCAAAAAATGCCTTTTGTCGGTTCTTACCAAAGTATTCGTTCAGGAAGGCGAGGGAAGCGAGGTAGCAGCCAAGACTGATAAGTTCAGCTACAACCATGAGCCAGTGCCAGGTGCGGACCGTCAGCGCCACCATCAGCAGCTCCGTCAGGATCAGAGCAGTGAAGGAGATCGCCACCACATGCACAAACTCCTGATCGAACAGCACCAGGGCCCCGTACATCAGGATGCCCCCTGGTGGACAAACAGGGGAAACGTTTGAGATGAACCACCAAGGACTGAGATAAAGCTGTCAGTTTAGTGTTATAATGAGTATAAACACATGTGCCTGAAACACATTAGTAGTTAACAAATTAAACGGGAACAACTAACGATAAAAAAACAGATCCGCTAAGGTCATTTAGACTGCAAGACCTGACAAATCCATAAGGTTTACTGATGTCCATCTAGAACGAGTTTCTTCGGTGATTTCTTGATCTTCGCTCACAGTCTGATCCCCATTCACACATGAGCGCGTTGAGCTCTGACCTCTGTTCGCGAGGCACCACGCTCACTCGGCTCCTCAGCCTACTGTAACCGTCTCTGCTTTCATTTTAATCATAAACGCCAGCGCAATCCAGCCTAATGGCCTCTAACTGATCACATAATTGCCTCTCTTCATACAGCGAACATTCCTCGGGGTTACTCTCTGGACTAAATGAAATCTTTGCTCATATTTCCCTGTTGTTCTTGTCTCGCTGTATTAAGGTTTAATTAAAAAGCAGGAGCTGTCAGACGGGGATACTGATCTCTCTTGCTCACTGCGCGGATCGATTTACAGTGCGGATAAGGCAGCCGTGTGAGAGCTGGCGATGGTCCGAAAATCACATTCATGAAAAGAGCTCCACTGAATTCACGGGAGACAAGTTACATTCCGCTTCAATGTTTACTTCTTTGATGAAACGTTCAGAGTTTATTTGTAGAGAACGTCTGTTTATGGTTAGTTTATAGATGTCATGTTATCTCAGATTGGATTGGTTTTTTTCACGTTTACATTTCCCTTACGTTTGTTCAGTAAATTTTTACTTTAGACAATCCCTCTGGATCAACCGAGGCACAATGGTAACTCGTGAATCACTCCTCCTGAGGTTCCAACCGAATTCTAAAAGATGCGTCTAAGCCTAAGAAAAAATATTTTCTGCAGTATTACACCAGCATAATATACAGAGAAAACTACAAAATCTGTTTTTACTATAAAAAGAGACCCTGTTGGCTGGCTGCTTAAAAATAAATATTTTTGCCATTCCATTTGATAAATATCGGGTTACAGAAATTACACACTTTACCATTAACCATCAGGTTAGTTCATTTTTTACCTGATTGTTTCAATTCTAATGCAATTATTTACTAAACTGTGTGATGCATTATAAAAATCAGAAATTTGTTCCGATTTGTTCATGTTTTTTTAAAGAAGTCTCTTACGTTCACCAAGACTGCAGTTATTTAATCAAAAAATACAGTAAAAACAATATTGTAAATATTATTACAATTTAAAAAGACAGTTTTCTATTTTTATATATTTTAAAATATAATTTATTCCTGTGATGGCAAAGTTTAATTTTAAAGCAGGCATTACTCCAGTCTTAAATGTCACATGATCATTCAGAAATAATTCTAATATGCTGCTTTGGTGGTCAAGAAAGATTTTTTTCTTATTATAAATGCTGAGAATAGTTGTGATGCTTCATAATTTTGTGGGAATACATGATTTTTTTCTATCGATAAATAGATGGAAAGAAAAAAAAAAAAAAAAATTTTTAATATTAGAACTGAATCCGGAATCCGGTCATTTTTGATGAGTTTAATGCATCCGTGCTGAATAGAAGCATACATTTCTTAAAAAAAACATAAAATAAATAACAGGGTATATACAGGAATCATGGAGTTAAATTTAATACCTTTTAAGACCTTTTTTAAGACATACATATTAAGACCTCATCGCCACTCCAAGTTTTAACTGGTTACATCAGCGACACTTTAAATTACATTTACTATATATTGATTGTAAGATAGCACAACTAAACAGACTTACTTTGTGATAACTCCTTATCAATACAACATAATTCAGAAGGGGGGAACGAAGCACAAGAGAATTAATTGAGTGACTAGCCAATGCAACCCAAGAAACAAGAATTAGACTAATAAACAAAACAACTGACAAAACTTGTTGAGGAGGGAAAATAAAAATAAAGCTCTCCAAGCTAACGGGGCAATGAGTTCACACAGTATATTCAAAAGATGTATTTGTCACATCAACTCTTATAACTGTCTGCAAACCATAGCTGTTTTGTGGAACACTTCTCATGACAAACATCTGACTAATCAGACAGTTTACCTTAAAATGTTTCAGTACAAGCATTTCAACCAAATGTAATTTATGCAATATTTCAAACCTTTAACCCACTGGGGAAAATCAACCCATGGCAACAGTTTAAAAGCAGCCCAATTTCGTGGAAAAAAACAACAACAACCCTGCATCCAATACGGTGCAGTCAGTCACTGAGCGCCGTAACAGATGACGTCAAATCTTGCGGGATTCCATAAATAAACTACGAAGAACCCCACTATTAGGACAAATATATATAATAAACAGATGATACAAAATGTAATACCTTGGAAAATGTCAATTAAGACTTTTTAATACTTTTTAAGGGCCTTAATTCTCTCTAAATTGATTTATCAACTTTTAATACTTTTTAAGACCCCGCGGACACTCTGAATAAAAATAATTGGGGGACAATTGAATGCTTCTGCACTACAAATAGATTGGGATCTGGATTGGTGACAACCGAAAATAGGTCAAGAATTTTTTTTAAATAAGAAATTAATGAATACATTTTCTGCTATTATAGAAAGACTGGGTATCGTCCACTACATCAAGACAAACATCCAATACAAGAAGAAATCCTGCTTATTAAGATGACCTCCTCCTTTATTAAACGAATTGTATAAAATTATGTTTAAATATATATAAAAAAATTACAAATATTAACATAAGAACCCTGTATTGATGCAACACTGTGAAAAAAATAATCACAACATATTGATACATAATTGTATCAGCACAGCCTATATTATTGTAATTATAACTGAGTATTTAATTCCCTAATAAGCATATTTTGTTTTTAAACCTCCCTTTAAACTTAAAAATTCTGTGGCTCTATGTGTGGTTCCATGTCAGTTTTTTGCACTGACATGAAGTCACATTAGGGTTGTACCGATAGACGATAGTATCGTGTATCGACGATAGTCAGAGATATCGACGATAGCAGACGTCTTTGTCGATTGTCAAGACGATATTAGGCTCATTCTCCTATTAATGTATTAAATAATAATAATTATTATTAGGCGGCCTATTATAATTCGGCTATTATTATCAAATTGCCCCGCTTTTTCATCTGTTGGTCTTTAAAATAAATCTACTTTTGATTTTCACCGTTGACGGATTTTGCAGACCTTTTAGACGGATAACTTCCGTGCGTCGATGCGGCAAACTTGTCAAAGGACACGCGGTCCTAAAAGCAATGTATGACTGTTGTATCCGAATATATATACAGGTACATCTCAAAAAATTAGAATATCATGAAAAAGGTCAATATTTTTTGTCACTCATTTCAGAAAGTGAAACCCATATATTATATAGATTCATTACACATAGAGTGAAATATTTCAA